GGGCGCTTATCACAGGACAGTAGGGGGCAAGTTGCAAATAAAAAACATTATCAGAACTTGAACCCTTCCTCAATGTGTTTGTCTTTATCTGTGTCTCTATTAGCAATGGGAGGTTAACCCATCACTTCCTGTCCTGACGGAAGATGATGGGAAATCTCTCCAATTGGGAAACATATAACTGAGATGTATTACAGGGATCTATTTATCAGCAGCCTTAACAAAACCTCTGCTTAGGGTCCGGTCACTCTGACATTGCCATACTTCGCTTGATCTCTTATGTTTGGCCTTATGAGAGGTTCTAATCTAAAGCTATACATTTCTAGAGAGAGACCTAGAGGCTACCGAAGCTGATTTTTCAAAATGTAAACTCTAAGGCCTCTTTCACACGGGTGGTCGGATTTTGTCCGTCTGTCAGTTTTTCATGATTATCTGATAGGATGCCCAGTGCTGGTGTATGAGCAGACACAACTGTCACACAGCTCAGCCCTATCTGATATGGAGAGAGACCTGAATTTTCTCTGCTGCAGTTAAGTAACACTTGTCAGTTCTTGTCCCTCCCTAGTCTGTGACTTGACAATGAAAGTAGTAACAGCAGACTGATGAGCTCTTCTTTCTATCGCTCTCGCCTCCTATCAGCATGGCCCCTGTTAGCACATGAACACTGCAGCACAACTGATTGGCTCCTTGTTCTGTTTCTTTCTCTACCGGTCTGAGCTTGGTTGTACAGGGGCTGCTGGTGCCTGATGCCGAGTCAAATTCAGGTACTTGCATAGCTTACAAAGACATTAGAGCCTGACTGAAGGTTAATGCAACTATTAGTCATACTGGAGCTCTTTAGTGAAAGTCAGTTAACCCATCGTAACATTTTTGGGTTGTTTAAGGATGTCAGAGCCTTAGGAGAACGCTCACAGTAAAATATAGCCTTTCTGGTAGGAATTGAAGCCTCGCTAAGGCTGTTTTAATGGCTGAGTGGTCTGTCATTTCACTGGAGCAGTATAATTGCTGGATTCTTCCTCTTTTTTTTTTTTTTTTTTTTAATAAACTATATATTTATTACTGTTTTCTCCTGATAATTGCAGAGCCATCTCAGATAGAAGAAGCTGTTAAGGAGCTGGACTCTCTGCTGTCTAACGAGAATGTGCGTTTACAGGAAGTGTGCAGCCGCTTGAAGGAGAAGCACCAAAACATGACTCAAGAGGTCAGCAGAGACTGTTTATTTGTTGTTAAAAAGACATATTAATCACCTTGTATTAAATTGAAACAGTCTGCCAATCTATTTATTATCATCTGCCATAATTGTGTGATAAATTTGCATCACGGTGCCAATTCATTCCGTTTGCCTGTGAATTCTGCCAACCCAAAGAAAGATTTTGCCAAGGTAAGTGCATTACATTCTGGTGTGGTGTACATGGCTGATTAAATACAATATGTGCGTGAGGCTTGGGAGCTTCTCTAGAAAGGGTACAGCAAGTATGACACTTGGTGGGGTGTGCTGACACACAAATTTAAATGTGAGAAATACCTTAGTCCTTTCATCTATCCAATCCATCTTCAAATATGACTTTACTTTTTATGTTGCTGTCCCTAAAGTAAGTGTTTGATGGTTTGCATATATTTTCCTTTAGTTTAGGACAAAAAACAAATAGGTTAATTTATTTTTTGTTGGGTAAAGAGAAACCATACTATCACAAAACCCATTTCAAATTCCCTTTAAGAGTTATATTGATATTATGAGCCTGCTAGTTTAGATTCCCTTTTTGTTTCCTAATACATTTTCTGGCATATAGTAGGCTTTCTGCACATGTAGTTAGACTAAAGATGGGATCGATTGGCAGAGGGGCCTTTACAACTTCTTGTTGGGGGTGCCTTCTGTCATGTAGCACTATAACAGAATTTCCTTTTGTTCTTCCTGAAACTTTTCTGAAGTCATATACGGTAATGTACAATACTTATGGATAATGTCCTTAAAGACCACATAAGTCATTCTATTTTTAATTGTAAAGATTTATGATAAATGGAAATCCTGGATTGTGTAGTGTTGTCACCACCTACAGTGTCTTAGTAGACTTGACCTGCTAGACTTGAGTTGACCTGCTTGACTTAAGCTAAACAATTTAAATTCAGCTTAAAAAGAGAAAATACATAGTTGATACAGTTGGTGGAAACCCAGTGTCAGAAGGTTCAGCAGTTCCAGAGATATAGACAACTGAAGCTGTATGTAGATCTCTATTTTTCTTATCCAGCTGCTCCATATAACCTCCATATTGGGCAGCGAGGCTGCTCATTACATTAGAACACCAACAAGAAGTTGTAGTGGGGTGAAGCTAAGCTTGATCTTTACAAGAAAAGTAAGGATTGCCTACATATTCAGCTTCTTATATATCTGCATCTACTATCTTCAAATGTATTATTCACTGACCTTCCTATGCATATTTTCTTAATCTGTCAAGTTTACATCGCCCAAGTTTAGTTTTTGGTTCATCTACATATTTACAGTGTTTCTCATAGAGCAGCATGAGTTTGCATGAGTCTGCCATATACCTGATTATCACCAACAGGTGTAAGCTCTAACTGCTGACCCTAGTCATAGAAGAAAACAATTCGGGTATTGTTTCCCTGAACATGAACTTGTTTTATTGCTGTCTGAAAGTAAAATTAGGCTTGCAACTGTTGTGGCTGCTCTGAGGCTGATAGGTGAGTGGGTCTTGGGTATGTAGGAAGGATAACAGGAGGGAGAGGACTCGGGGATGTTAATAATAATAATAATAATAATATTATTAGGAGGTTTACTGCTAATCCAAAGGTGTGCAAGAGACAGGGCATGGAGTCTGCAAAACTACAGGTTACCCTCCTGCAGCACTGCAGATATATATATAGAACATAATTTCTCTGTGTTTTCAACCTCATTCATAACTGTACCTGCTTCCCCCTCACTTGTTATTCAGTTCACCCAGTTGCAGTCCCGCTTGGAGAACGCAGAATCCCGCGTCTCACACTTAGATGGCCTCATTGAAGATCTGCAGTGGGACATTGACAAGGTCCGCAAAAGAGAGCAGCGCCTGAACAGACACTTGTCGGAGGTCCTTGAGAGGGTAAGATGCGGGGACTTGTAGTGTTGCTAAGAGGCCTCATTATTAAAGTGTCTGTAATAACAATGGTCTGTCTTGCTGATGACAACAAACCACAACCCACTTTGCAGTGCTTTTAAAATGTTTAAGTTTCAAACTTGTTTATGAGGTGGCTTTGGTAAATGGGGCCCATTATGTTTTTTTCAGTGATCAGATAACTCAAGGTTTTTCCATGTCCCTCCCTTAGGTGAATTCGAAAGGCTACAAGGTGTATGGTGCTGGCAGCAGCTTATATGGAGGAACAATAACCATCAACTCAAAAAAGGTAAAGCATAAAAAGCTACAGTGATAAGACACGTCAGTCTGACCCTTTTTTTTTCTCCAGAATTGTAGGCCTGTAGCCAGTCAGTTAAGGGTTCAGTATTTAGCCCCCCTTATGACCAGTGATCATTGAAGCCCAAAGTCCCAGACCAAATTTGTGAACTTGGCAATAACACTGACTACCTAAATCAGTTTAACGTTGTTAAAGGACATATAAGGTTTTATGTCTTGTTTTTCATCATTTTTTGTAATTGGTTCTTCTTCTTCTTTTTTTTTTTTTTTTTATACACTGTATTGCACTGTGCAAGCTGGAGCCTGCTGGCTTTAACTGTCACTGTTCCTCTCTGTGAGAGATGGAACTCCTTATCTGATAAGACCTTCCTTTCTCCACTCCCTCTACTTTCCCACTCCACTCCCTCTACTTTCCCACATCGAGACCCCCCAAGCTTGTCTCTCCATCCACCCACTCAGCTTGACCCAGTCTGCCAAATCCTCAGACAAACATGAGGTCCTCCACATTCCAGAGTTGGGGGGGAGGGATTTGTTAACCTTTGCAGATGCTTGGACAGCTAGTTTCTCAGATGTTTGGCTGCGGGAGGTCGTATCCGAGAGCTACAAAATTACGTTTCAATCCCTGCCGCCTCCTATTTTTCTCAGCAGGATTCTGTGGACATCAAAGATGCTTACTTGCATGTCCCCATCTTTGCAGCACATCAGGGATCCCTTTTGCTTTGCCTTAGGGCCCCAACACTGCAAGTTTGTGACCCTGCCCTTCAACATCTCGTGTGCACCTCTGGCCCCTATAATAGTCCCAGGCCTGATAGCTCAGGAATCTAGCTCTGAAGTTGGGAAGTCCGTTCTTCCCATCTTTTGGAGGATCATCTCGACAGATGCCAGCATGTCGCACTGGGTAGGAACCCTTCGTATCCTGTCAGCACAGGGGACTTGGTTGTTGGAGTCTTTTCTCCTGATCAGCATAATGGGGAGTCATCCAGCCTGTATTCATTTGGACCACACCATGGTGGTATCGTACATCAGTTAACAGGGAAGAACCAGAAGTCTCGCTGGAGCAAGAGCATTAGATCGGATCCTCTACTAGGCTGCACTTCATGTTTCAGCCTTGTCAGCCATGTATATTCCAGGCATAGACAATTGGCAGGCAGAATTCAGGCGCTGGCAGTGTCCAGTGTCTGGTCCTGGGGGAGTGACTCCC